CCGGAGCAGGGAGACTGGAAGACTGTGGACTTCTCAGGCCAGACGCCTTACCCCGCCCCAACCTTGTTTTGCCTTCTTTCATTTGTCCTTGAATGTATAGCATAGCAAGGCTATCTCTTGGTTTGTAGGCGTTTTATTATGCCAGGTCAACACACACCGACCTCACACAAAATTAGTATCCCATCAGTCTCACAAGACTGGGACAAGAGTGGGTTTTCAACACAGCTTGACATTAGAGGTCAAGTAGGACCAGGCGCTTAAGTAGACTGTGAAAAGACCTCCTAAATAATCTTAAGGGAGGAGTCTTGGGGCAGGGGTGAGGCCAACTAAAGTGGCCTCCAGGCTTTCTGCTGGATTCACCAGTTTGACCGGAGACGCTTCCTTCTCCAGGGGTGGAAATGGGATCAAGATGGTGGTGACCTGGCGCAGAGAAGGGGGCAGGGGGTGTGTGGTTTGTGGGTGAAACTGAACTGAGATATGGAGTGACTGAGATTCCAGCATTAGCCAGCACTGCAGGTCTCAGCTATTCTTAGACATTTTCCAGGCCCGAGTTGTCACATACACCAAGCCCCAATTGTCCCAAGAAAGCATGGCCTCAGGGCATCCAGCCCTCGCCTGATTTGCAGAAGCATCATACAAAGTCGTGAAAAACCACAAAGGTTTACCCCTCCAAAATCATCAGGTGGGGCCTGTGTGTGCTTTTAAGATTCTAAACTGAGAACAGGTGTTTTCCACTAGGTGGGGTGTACCTAACTTTCTGGAACCCACCCACACCTGAACACCCAAGAACTCACAAAACAGGGAGTCCCCAAGGGAGATACCCACCCCTGGCCACCTTCCCCACTGGACAGACCAGCCACATGGACACCAGTTACTGCTCCAGTCAACAAAACAGAAACTTTATTGAGGCCCCAGCATCACAGGGTTCAGGTAGAAGGCTGCCCTGTGGACCCAAGGAGTTGGTGGAGGGGCCTTATTTAACCTTCTTCTTGGGGCGCAGGTTGTTGGTGTGGCCGCACTTCTTCTTGCGGCAGTTGACAGCACGGGGGTGCAGGCGGGCGTAACACCTGAGCAGAGAAAGGAAGGATTGGTCAGGGCACCTGACCGCTCTCCACCAGGCCCCACCCCCAAGCATACTTACTTGCGGCAGATCATCTTGTCGCAGTTGTACTTTTGCGCGAGCTGGCGGAGGGAGGGTTCGATGATGCCACCCCTGAGACGCAGCACCAAGTGCAGGGTGGACTCTATAGTAAATGAAGATTGGGGAGAAGCAGTGATTCATCCTGGGCCCAACAACTGGCCCACAGATGCAGGGCAGAGCTTTTGTGCGATGGCCACACCAGCCCTTGGAGAGTCTGAGGCTAATAAATGCCAACACAGGTTTGCCCAGTGGCAGTATCGTAACCAATGAGGTTTATCCAAGGCACAATTATTGCTAATAATAAAAAAAAATGCCAACAATGCTGTCCAGCTGGATTCCCAACAGGTAAGGTAATTTCTAAGTGGTGTGAGGCTGACCTTTTACTTTTGCTAGGCAGAACAGTTAAAGCTTGTTGCTGCAAAGAGTGGCACTGATTTCCTTTATCGTAGTTACATTTTTTTAAAAAAATGTATTTTATTGATTTTTTACAGAGAGGAAGGGAGAGGGATAGAGAGTTAGAAACACTGATCAGCTGCCTCCTGCACACTCCCTACTGGGGATGTGCCTGCAACCAAGGTGAGGATTAACAACAAAAGAGAGAAAGATAAGGTGAACGAGAACATGGGAAACTATTGCCATTTGGAAACACAGGTACTGTTTTCCAGGGATGAAAACGGTACCTTGTAAAAGCAAGTCTCCCCCACCTCCTCTGATCCTCACCTTAAGGACCATCCCCCTCTGCCCTGGCCGCTATGGCTCAGTTGGTTGGAGCTTCATCCCCTACACCAAAAGGCTGCAGGTTTGATTCCTGGTCAGGGCACATAATTAAGTTTTGGGTGCGTATGGGAAGGCAACAGATCGACACTCCCCCTTCTTCCACTCTAAAAGTCAATGGGAAAAATATCCCAGGGTGAAGATTAACAAACAAACAAACAAACCAAACAAGCATGTCTTCAGATGAAGCTTAAAAAGACAAAACAGCCCTGGCCAGTGTGCTCAATGGTGAGAGCATCAGCCACGGCCTGGAGGGTCTTGTGCTCTATTCCCAGTCTAGGGCACATACCTGGTGCACATATCTGGTTTTCCAGTTCCTTCCCTGCCCGATTTGGGGTGTGTGCAACCAATCAATGTTTCTCTCTGCCCCCCTCCCTAAAAACCAATGGGAAAACCATCCTCCTTGAGAATAAACAAAAAGACAAGAAAAACACCACTGACATCAATGTCCCACCTGGGCCCCAGGCTTTATGGGGCCCTGTTCAGCCAACACACACACAATACCTTTCTGAATATTGTAGTCTGAGAGAGTGCGGCCATCCTCTAGCTGTTTGCCCGCAAAAATCAGACGCTGCTGGTCAGGTGGGATGCCTGGGGATTGAGAGAATCTCAGTTACTGAGGCTCTGGCAAGCATTACTGGCAGCTCCGCGCCCCCCTTCCCCCCCCATTAACTCCAATCTGTCAGAAGGGAAACCCAGATAGAAATAAAATGCCTTCTTGAAATGATGCAGAAAAAGCACTGGCAAGGCCTCAGCACCCACAGCTACCCACACTTACCCTCCTTGTCTTGGATTTTAGCTTTGACATTCTCAATGGTGTCACTGGGCTCAACCTCAAGGGTGATGGTCTTGCCAGTCAGGGTCTTCACGAAGATCTGCATCTCTGCGTCTGCTGGGGAGGCAGGGACAAAGTAGGGAGTACTGTCAGGACCGAGCGTCTTGAGCTGGGGGGCTGGCCTGCCCAAGCCCTGACTGCCGGTGCTGTCCCCGCATGGAGCCCACCTGTAGGCCCACCCCAGTGCCTGTGGCCTTCCAGCCCTCCAAGTCTACAGATGCAATGAGAAGTACCTGGCCCGGGCACCCTTTTGCCTTAAACATTTCCCCCAAGTGTGATCTGGAGGTTCCACCAACCCATCCTCCCTCCCTCCCTTTCATCAACCCCTAACCACAACTCTGCGAAGTACCCTTCCTGCAGTTTGGGTGGGAATCCCATCTTAATAGTCATTCCCCTCCAGGGCCTCTCCTCTCCAACTACAGCTCATACCCACTTTGGCTTCCTTCTCAGTTACCCCCAAACTTCTTAGACCACACCTCTTGCCGTTGCTCCCACCCATCTGCCAACCACGTGCCACATACTTGTTTACACAGGCATTTGTTTTCATTAAAAAAAAAAAACACCCCACACACACCTACAAGATAGACACTACCGGCTTCTTTACAAGTGTAGAAAAGGAGATAGGTGGAGACCCTACTTAGGGGGTGAGGATGAAGGTTTTAATACTTTTAAAGCACAGAGAAAAAGTTACATGCTTAAAATCCCACCCACTAATTTGGATCTGCACAAGACCAAACCCCCACCCCGAGGCCCCGTCTGATAGCTTAAGCCGGCGGCGCGGGCAAGCCATTCTCCCAAAGGCCGGTTCGCCTCCTGGGGCCCAAAACACTGGCCCAATACGCGCTGCTTAGCCGACCCGCGGAGCCTGACCCGCACGAACCGATTCGGGCCGTCCCCTCCGCTGCCTCGGCCCCGTACCTCCCGCTCGACCCCGATCCGACGCGAACCCGCACGAACACTTCCACCAACCTGCTCCGCCGCCTCGTTGACGAGAAAGAGGACGGCGGAACCGGAAACCGTCGAATCGCCGCCGAGAGCGCCTGCGCACTGAGTACGCTGCACGCGTGCGTCACAATTCGCGCCGCGCGTCCTGCCCCGCCCCGCCGCCGAGTTGTGCGCTGGAGAACGAAGCCGGGAGTGTCGCTCACCTGCTTCCGGGTGTGCACTTCCGCCCCGGGTCTCCTGGGAAGTCTGCCACACTACCAGGTGTTTCTACCCGCTGTTTCAGGGTCGGCTGAAGACCCGACGTTGCGGGAACTCGAGTACTTATTGGGTGGAGTAGACTTTTGTGCTAAATCGAGGCATTAAGCAGAGGGTCTGCGGGTATAGGAAGCGGGGGTGTAGCAGGAAAGGTAGGAGGAGGCCTGGGACCCTTGGGAGCCACGTAGGTACCTAACACCCGGAGCCAGTTATTCTAAAACTTTCTGGCGGCTGTGCGCTGATGGATTTGAGGGCGGCGCGCCTGGGGAGCAGGGAGAAAAGGTAGGATTGCTGCATCGGCTCAAGAAAATGGGGTGGGGTCCTGGCCGGTGTGGCTCAGATGGTTGAGCGACTTGCTGTGCGCGGAAGGGTCGCTGGTTGGATTTCGGGTCAGGGCAATGCCCAGGTTGTGGGTTCCATCCCGTATATAAGAAGCAACAAATCAATGTTTCTCTCTCACATGGTTGTTTCTCTCCCTGTCTCTCTAAAATCAATTTAAAAACATTATATTTAAAAAGAAAATGGGGTGAGACCTAGCAGACTCCCGGATGGCTAAAAAGTGGCGGACGTATGAAAGAGGTGAGGTCCTAGAAGTTACTCGTGGGTTTGGCAGAGTACCTCTTCATTTCTTTGAACTCTTCCCAGCGCCCCTATGGATCAGGCTAAAGCAAGTGCTTCAAAGATTCAAGGACTGTGAGTTTCTAATGGGGAAGGGGACCATCTCAGTTTCCCAAGGAGCCTACCCAGCAACTGAAATCTGGAGGAGTTATTCAAGGAGGTAAGGTAGTGATTTTCAACCCGTGTGCCGCAAGAATTTTTAAAACATTTTTTCTCATGTCGGCAAAAATCTACTTTATGTTGTGCCACAGAATCTTAGTATTAGTTTATGTGTGCCATGAGATGAGAAAGGCTGAAAATCGCGGAGGAAAAGAACAGTATTGGAGCAATGGTTATAGGAGCCTGGGTTATTAGGTCTGCACCCCATCCTGTTCCACTTCCAGCACTTGTCCCCCTTCTGAGCTGATGGACACAAGGATGGAAGGAAGCCACTGCTGGGTACACCCTTCCGTTTTTAGTCTTTTTATTGATAACTTCCCAACAGCATCTGTAAACATCGGATACAAAAATATTCGGTTAAATTCTATTTTCCAAGGTGGCTTGGCTTCACGGAGGCCCTGGGAGAGATCTGCAGGGCCCTCAGGGCTCACACCTTTGGTCAGACAAATGTGGGCTTTTATCACACTTGGGGCTGAGTGGATGGTCTTGAGCTTTCTACAACTGTTTCAGAAACCTCCTTGAGATACTGATTGGAGAAAGTATTTAATACTTTCCTTGGAGGAAGGGACGGGGAGACCAGAATTAGTAGGTGTGGGAGTGAACTGAGACATGATGTTTGTCCACCTCAAGGAGGTCCTGACTGGGGTGCTGAGACAGGGGACATCTGGCTTTTGTCTTTGGGAACCTTTAAGTGTTGTTCAGAGCAGACCTCAGGCCTGGCTCTGGAAAAGATTCCTTGTGCCCAGCCCAACAACTCCAGCTGGCTGCTCAACCCCTGGCCTGGCAGAGGGTCTGCAGGAGAAAAATAGCCTCAGTGAAGGAGGAGTGAGAATGATAGATTCCCCCATGCTGGGAGGGAGCCTTATCCCCCAGGGTGCCCTGGGTGACAGAATAGGGTGGCAAAGCTGACCATTTTCAGGCAGGGTTATCTGCTGCCACCTCAGATACCTGGAGAGACCCCTTGGAGTGCCTGGGAACAGAGCTACTGGCCCGGCATCTGCTTATCATCCATCTGGCTGTGCTCATTGATGGCAGGGGAGTTGGGCTGGATTTGGGACAGGTCCTCGAATCCAGGGCTGAGGGAGGGTGAGATGGTATCTGGGCTCGTGTCACAGGAACCTGTGCTCTGTTCCGAGGTGGCAATGGTGGTCGTGGTGCTGGGCGGGATGGGGTCTTCGTCGTCGTCCTCCAGGAGGGATGCCTCTGGGACGTCTGGGGGAAGGTGGCCCAGGAGTTGGCTTAGTCACCATGATGAGGGATTAACTGGACCTGTGACCCTCTGACAGCAACCCCCACCCACCCTGCCATGGGGCATGACTTCATCCATTTTACAAAAGAGGGAACTGAGGCCCAGGCAGGTGAGAGGCCTCCAAAGTGAGGTAAGGACTCAGGTTCTCTGGATCAGGCTGATATGGGTCCTGGGGTCAAGCCTGAGCCTGGCTCTGCTCTCAACTGTGTCACCTGAGTCAGGCCCCTCACCTGCCCTTGCCTTAGCTCCCTCCTGGATAAATTGGGGCTGATAGCAATGGCACTGCCTCTACCTCTGGTTGTCTGTGGGGTGGGAGCTGTTGGCCCATTCAGCACCTGGGTTAAACTGAGGCTCAGTGTAAGGGAACACTGTTTCCTCTGACAAACAGGTGCCCCTCTGGGCCTCAGTTTTGCCATGTGAAATGGGGATATGGCCCCCACCTCACAGCTGGTTATGGGTAACAGCCTATTTGTAAGGGTATGTAGTACTCACTGGGGCAAGGATTGCTATTGTTCTCGTCCCTGACACCTCCCTCCAGAGAGGGGACCCTGTCCCAGGACTCTTTGGACCCATTACCCACCAGCCCCTGAGGTGACCTTCTAAAAGCCAGCCCTGGGCTCAAGAAGGTGGCATCCAAGGGTTGCAGAGACCAGACATGTGGCACAGGAGCCCTGGGTGACACTTACGGCTGAAGGCCTCTGGGTACTGCCTGGCCAGCTTCCCTTTCAGCGTCCTGCAGGGTAAGAGAAGGCACATAGGCTGAACCCCTTGAGCAGACAGGCTGGGCCACATGCAGGCTAGCAACCTTGCTGTCAGCTCTGTGTGAGTGGGTGGTGGGAACTTCCCCCTCATTGCTTGTCACACTGTGCTCCTGGACTGGAGAGAGGCCCAGGCACTCAGCCCTGCAAAACTCCCACCTTTGGAGTGGGCACCTTCGGTGAGGGTGTCTGTGTTAGGGCCAGGCTGAGTCCCAATGAGCAGGTCGGTGGAGGTGAGAAATGCTGGCTTCCCATACCCTAAAACCCAGCAATCTGACATGTTTCTTGAGAGAAAATCTGGGTAGAGGGATAGGTGGGCAGGAGGCCGGCTTTTCACTGTTTGCTCTTTGCCTGCCTTTTTTTGCATCATGTGTCTGGTGCTATGTTGCATTTTTTCAAAAGATAAATAAAATTCAAATTCAGAAACTTTGTGATTTTTATGCCGGAGTTCAAATGTTGGATGCTAAGTGCACGATGAAGCCTTGAAAAACAAGCGAGTTGGATCTGCCCTTGATGTGTTACTCTGTTAGGTGGAGGGTCCTACTGAGGGGGGGAGGACCGGGCCTCGGAGCGGGAGGCAGAGGCCAGTGGGGCCACATATGTACCTGATCCTGCGGAAGATGCTGTCCAGGTCCCGCTTCATCTCCGTCAGGGTCCTCGTGTGGTGCAGGAAGCGCTCGCTCATCTGCTGCAGGCGGGCGTTTGACAGGTTGTTGAAGTTCACCAGCATCTCGTTGGTTTTCTCAAAGCGGTCCAGCCTGGTAGCAGAGGCCACCAATGCTTCTGGTCAGTCTCCAGGGCTCTGCCAACTGAGTATGCTAAGCCCTTTTCCTGTCCCATGACCTTTGCATGTGCCATTCCCTTGTCCTACAAAGCTCTACTTGATTAAGCCACATGGCAAACTACTATTCAAACTTCAAAACCCTACTCACGTGTGCTTTTCTCATGTAGCTTTCACTGTCCCTCTCAGACCTCTGACTCCCTTAACCTCGATAGTTTCTCTGGCTTAACCCTGATACCATGGTGCCAGGAAGGTTTGTGTCTGGTTTTGTCTCCCCTCACGGTAGTATTTCTCCAGGACCAGGTCTGAATCTGACACAAAGAACTAGGAGAGCCGGGCCAGCATCGCTCAGTGGTTGAGCATTGACCTACGGCCTAGGACAGTGATGGCGAACCTATGACACGCATGTCAGAGGTGACACGTGAACTCTTTTGGTTGATTTTTGTTAAATGGCATTTAAATATATAAAATATCAAAAATTTAAATCTTTGTTTTACTATGGTTGCAAATATAAAAAAATTTCTATATGTGACACGGCACCAAAGTTAAGTTAGGGTTTTTCAAAATGCTGACACGCCGAGCTCAAAAGGTTCGCCATCACTGGACTAGGAGGTTACGGTTCGATTCCCAGTTGGGGCACATGCCAGGTTGTAGGCTCGATCCCCACTGGGGGATGTGCAGAAGGCACCTGATCAATGATTCTCTCTCATCATTGACGTTTCTATCTCCCTCTCCCTTCCTGTCTGAAATCAATAAAAATATATTTTTTAAAAAAGAGCTAGGGCCCTGACCGGTTTGGCTCAGTGGATAGAGTGTCAGCCTGCGGACTCGGGGGTCCCAGGTTCGATTCCGGTCAAGGGCATGTACCTTGGTTGCGGGCACATCCCCAGTGGGGAGTGTGCAGGAGGCAGCTGATCAATGTTTCTCTCTCACTGATGTTTCTGACTATCCCTCTCTCTTCCTCTCTGTAAAGAATCAATAAAAAAAAAATAATAATAATAAAAAAATATATAAATAAATAAATAAATAAATAAATAAAAAGAACTAGGAGAAAGAGGAGTATTGCTGATACCCAGCAACCTTGTCACAGAGCGAGAAGAGTATCAGGTTCATACTGTGTCAAATGGAGGGGAGAACCTTCAGCCTAAAGGCACAAAAATGCTCTGGCCAGTTTTGCGCAGTGATTAGAGTGTCGGCCCATGGAGTGAAGGGTCTCAGGTTCAATTCCCAGTCAAGAGCATGTACCTAGATTGCAGGTTTGAGCCCCATCCCCAGTTGGGGCCCACGTGGGAGGCAACTAATGGATATGTCTCTCTCTCTCTCCCCCCTCCTCCCTCCCTTTCACTCTCTCTAAAAATCAATGGAAAAAATATTCTTGGGTGAGGATTAAAAAAAAAAAGATACAAAAATGAAACCCCAAGATTGTGTTAGCCCTTCCTCCCCAAAGATCAGGCCAAATCAGAATGGGGCTGCAGTAGCCATAGTGCCAAGCCCAGGGAGAGCAAAAGGGCATTTGTGGCCCCTCCAAGAGACCCTAGGTGCTCTGCAGACAGTCTGGGCTCTGAGACACCAGGCTCCCAACAGGAAGTCAGCCCACCAGCTACCTTATATCCCCCATCCTATCCTCCCAACTTTCTACCCTAGCCGTGGGACAAGAGCTGCTGCGGTCTTTGCCAAGCCATCCACAGCTGCAGCATCCTAAAGCCCTGTTTCCTGTGCCAAGGCCTCACCTCAGGCCATGAAAAAGTTTACTTTGGAGTCAGCCAGCAGCTTTGCTCATTTCCTTCATTTTACCACCAGTGTGGGGCCAGGGTAGGGGTGGGCAGGGCAAGAATGCTGGCCAACAAAATGGATTCCTTCCCACTCCTGGGCCCAGGGCCCTTGGCCACCACTCACATGTTCTTCTGGGCCAGGATGATGGCGTTGACATCATCCACATTCACCATGCTCAGGATGCGGCTGCAGAAGACCCTCGAGGCCGAGGCCGGGGGATCCATCTCTTCCTCCTCCTCCACTGCCTGAAACAGGCAGGAAGAAAGTCTTCGGTCTGCATCAGGCACTGGGGAAGATGGGACAAAGAGAAGGGGCTGGGAACCCCACAGGCTGCTAAAGTGAGTCAGTCTTGCCACCTGAGCCTCCGTGTTGACATCTTGGGAATGCAGGGTTTTTGAGAACTCCAGGAGGTCATATTTATAACTTGCACCTAAATACATCAGAATCCCATCTCTCCTCCACACTCACTCTCAATGTGCCCAAGGCCACCGGCACCTTCCACCTGCACTGATCTGCCTGCCTCCTCCCACCAACCCCCTCCCCTGCTTTGCCCATTCCACTTCAGGGCCTTTGCACCTGCTGTCCCACTGCTAGAACATGCTTGGCTGCCCCCTCAGACCACCACCACCTCCAGGGTCTTCTCTCCCAGGAAGTCTTGATGACTACCCCTACTCTGGTCACTCTTATCACTTCACCTTGTTTTGTTTCACTGGCTCATTTCTGTCTGAAATTATCTTAGTTGACCTGTTTGCCTGTCATCCCACAGCAATATCAGCTCCAAGAGAGTCAAGGCCTGTGTCTCTTGCTTGTTTGCTGTCTTCAGAGCCCAGCTCAGAACCTGGCTCACATCAAGGGATCACCAGAACTTCATTTGGCAGAGGCAAACAAGACCTTCCAAACTCTGCTCTGACGCTAGACCTTAACACCAAATTAAAGCCAAGAATTTCAGGCCCTTGCAGCCAGGCTGTGGGCCCCAGCAACCCAGATGGCTCTGTGGTTCTCAGCTTCCCTGGCACACATAACCATTCCACTGGGTGGGGGCTTTCTGGATCAGGCCAGGGCAGGAAAGGCCACAGCTTTAGCACTGACCCTCCTGGTGGGGGGCTTCAGGAAAATCCCAGAATTGTGACATAGCTTGGTTCTGGGCCCACACATTTAATGGCTAATAGAAAGGCCCACTTGCCATTGGCAAAGATTTATACACGGATCAGAAAGTTCTTTCAGATTCCACTTACTCCACCCTCTACTGAGCACCAACTTTAAGCTAAACAAGGTACAACTTTATAAATGGGAACTGTTACCATATTAATATGTGAGAAAACTGAAGCTCAGAGACTAAGCCACTGGGCCATTATCACAGACAATAAACCTGTCACAACTCACATGCCCATAGTACACAGGATCTACAAAGGCATGAATCTGCAGAGGTGTTCAGTATCTACCCATGACGGCACAGCAGCTTCTTAAAGCGGTTGCTTCCTTAACGGACTTCTGATTTTTTCCAGGAAAAAAATGGACGATTTTTTTTCTTCTGTGAAATCGTCTAACTTACAAATGTTAGCAAATAAACATCATGGAGGCCAAGAGGATTTGTGCCCTGAATTTGGCTAGCAGGTTGCAGCTCCCACCTGCCTCTGGAAATAAGCTGCCACACCTGGTGAAACCCTACCCCTCTGCCAGTATCACTGTTTATTGAGCTCCCACCATGTGCCAGGTACAGGCATCCAGTCTCTACATTTCAAGAAAAGCATGTTCATGTATAAACAGGATACTTGGGCTCAAAGGTCAGAGCTGGGGGGGGGGGGGGGGGCGGGGGGCATAGCTAGTCTGGCAGGCGCAGGATTTGGACCTGCAGGAAATGGTCCTGCTTCAGAGTAGGGCCCTTTCCTGTATCTGGCTTCCAGATGTGAGGGATTCAAGGTACATCCCTCCACTCCCAGCCGCCTCTCTCAGGAGGGCTTCCTTGACTAACAGTCTGGATCGAAAAAGGGTGGAATGACCCAAAAAGGTATCTGGGCCCTGCTCCAAATATATTTGAGGGAAACACGCAGAGAGGGAAGTTGTGTGACCTCGAGACAGTCACCTCACCTCAATCAGTTTTTTCATCCAGAAAATGGTAAAAAAAAATCAGAATCTCACAGTGCTGATCCCTTTTAGTTACATCTTTTTAGACTCCACTCTGTGACAGTCCCAACAGTGATAAAAAGTTGAACTATAGAGCAGGCCGTTTCTCCAAGGGGAGTGTAAAGAAGTCCTAGGACGGACGTGGGAATTAGGGTTTTGAGGAGGGCCTCCCCGGTGCTTCCAAGAATATGAGTAAATTTAATCCCCAATTACCCCTACAAGACAGACACTATCATTCCTCTCCGAGGGCAACTAAAGCTCACATTGGTGGGCTCCGTCGCCCAAGGTCAAAAGGCGAGGAGTCGAGGCGCCATGATTCCACCCAGGTCATTTAACAAAATAATTTGGCCACCCAAGCTCAGCAAAACCCCGGCGTGGGGGCGGGACCCGCATATACCCTCACGCCCCACCCCTGCAAAGCGGGAAACAGGCCCAAGCAGAGCAATGCCCGATTCTGGGTGACACTGCCCAGTCGGAACACAGGAGGCCCCAGCTCTTGCACCCCGGACCCGGATCCACTGAACATACAGGGAAACTGAGGCCTGTGTACAGGAGAGGTGCCCAGAAGTGTCCAGTGGCACTCCCCACCCCGCGACAGCCCGGGGGCCGCGCCCGACCTGGCCTGGCTCCCCAGCGGTCCCGGCGGCCCCGGCCCCACCCCAAACTCGGCCCCGGCGTCGGTGGCAGCGGCACCTGCACATCTGGCGGCCTTGCTCGCGCTTCCGGGATGGCGCCCGCGTCGCCGTGACGTCACCACGCACCTTGCGTACGAGCTAGCGAGGAGGCTAGAAGCCCGGAACCAACTTGGGTACGTGGAGGCGCGGCAGGAAGGGGTGGGGCTCATACGCAGCTCCCGTTCGCGTGTGCGTCACAGTGCACAGCCAGTCGAGCCGTCCCTATCGCGCCTGCGTAGTTTCCAAAGCCGGCGCTACTAGGCAGAGCGGAAGTGGGTGGACGAGGCTGAAAGACATCTGATTTTATAGATGGTAAGACAGGTCTGAGAGCGGCATGCTGCTCCCCAGTGTCACACAATGCTCCGGTGGCCTGTGGCTGACCCAGACTCAAGTGTCCTGCTTTCCAGGCTTGGAATCAGACTCATCTGGGTTCAAAAATCCCTACTCTGCTTTTTGCTGCCTTTTTTTTTTTTTTTTTTCTGGTGCAGGATCCCATTTAGTTACAACTTTTTAGACTCCTCCACTCTGTGACAGTTCCTCAGTCTTTCTTAATCTTTTATGACCTTGCTACTTTTGAAGACTACTGCTTTTGTAGAGCACTTATCAATATGGGCTTATCCAGTGTTTCCTCAGGATTAGGCTGAAATTAAGGAGTTCAGGCAGGAATCATAGAAGCGATGTTGTGTCCTCAATGCAATCATATTAGGAGGCACGCGATGTTGACTGATGGATGACTTGCTTTTGGCAGTGTCTTGCCAGTTTCTCAATCATTATTATTTTAGCCTTTGCAATTAATAAGTATCTTATGGGGAGATACCTTAGGCCATGCAAAGACCATAGTGTTTTGTTTTAAATATATTTTGTATTGACTTCAGAGTGGAAGGGAAAGAGAAAGATAGAAACATCAATAACGAGAGAGAATCATTGATCAGCTGCCTCCTGCACGCCCCCTGCTGGGGATCTAGCCCTCAACCCGGGCATGTGCCTTTGACCGAAATCTAACAGGGGACCCTTCAGCCCCTAGGCTGACACTCTATCCGCTGAGCCAAACCAGCTAGGGTGACCCTAGGTTTTCTTTGTGTGTGTGTGTTTTTTAACATTAAAAATTTTTTTCATCCACTAGTTTTAGCATCTATCCATGGCTCTTTCCGGCAACAATTATTACTATGATGTTTGTATAATGGTGATTGTGTGTATGTGTTTTTAATTGTAATTCTATTTAAACAAGAGCTGTCCATTCTCCAATTATGTATTTAGTCACATATTTATATCACTATGAACTAGTGAATACTTTTTATTCTGTGTGTTATAATTAATTTCTATATTATTTATTTTGCTGCTCCTTTAAGTTAGCTCCATCTTTCTCTGAGCATTTTCTTACTTTTTCCTTGCTTGTTTTGGAATATTGTTGGAATCAGCCATTTCTCCAAGAAGCCTGGTTCCTTTTTTTTATAGACTGGTATTTAAAAACCAGACTCTGAGTGCTGCGTGTGCTCACTGCTTAGAGACTCTCTCAGCTGTCAGAATTAGATTTGTATGTCTACTAAACCACGCATACACACATCTCTATTTACTACTATATTTGTCCCTTTGTGTATATACTGCAAATCATGAGCAAAATGGGGCAAATAGTAATTGCTCAATAAATGCTAACAATTCATTATCATTAGTTGATGCCTTACAGCAGCCGTGGGCAAACTACTGTCCGCGGGCCGGATCCGGCCTGTTTGAAATGAATAAAACTAAAAAAAAAAAAAAAGACCGTACCCTTTTATGTAATGATGTTTACTTTGAATTTATATTAGGTCACACAAACACTCCATCCATGCTTTTGTTCCGGCCCTCCGGTCCAGTTTAAGAACCCATTGTGGCCCTCGAGTCAAAAAGTTTGTCCACCCCTGCCTTACAGTATATGTATGCTACATTATTGGACATATCTGAGTTCTAATTTTCAGTTCTGTCACATCCTAGTCTGATGGCCTTGTGCAGGTGGCTTAACTTTATAAAATCATGCATGTAAGTTCCTTACAACAGGCTTGGTCCACTGTAAGCCCTTGGTAAACTGTATTATTACCTCCCCCACCCCCTCCCCCACACACTGCTGCCTTCATTCACTGAAAAGTTAATGAGGACAAAGATTCTTATATATTTAGTTTAACAAACGGTTTTAAACCCTCTAACCACCCCCTCTCGATGTGGCCCATATTCTGGGGATCCAGAGAGTACTTCATCCAGTCCCTGCCTAGCCCCGGAGGACAAAGGGAGATAGAGTCTGACACAAACATTCCCAGCCCCAAATGCCACAGTCCTGGGCTAGAAGGAGGAGAACTCAAAGCTGGAGGAACCTGAAGAGGGGGGCACATTTTTGGGTACAAGGAAGCAAGTATATCTGGATGGGATTTTGAGGTAGGATTAGGAGCATTCTGGTTGCTGACATTCATTCAGGGCTGAGGGAATCAGAGGAGCCGAGGTAGCACAGTGGGGAAGCACATAGGGCTTGCTCTTTGTAAGAATTGTGGAGCTCAGTGATGCAGACAGCAGCCAGTGCTGGGAGGGGTCCAGGTTGGGGGCTGCCGGGAAAAGTGAAACCATGGCTCTGTGCAGGCCGCAGCAGAAGAGGCCCAGGCTGGATAAATCAAGCTTTTCAGTGGGTCTCTTGGGCTCAGTTAAAGGCCAGGCAACATTTATGAGGGTCCTGGAAGGGAGTGGGGCTGTATATTGACACCAAAAGGGACTTGGCCAGTCCCAAATGTTTTGTGCTCAGTGGAGTGGAGACAAGAAAAATATTTTTCTCCTTTGTCTGTCTGAGGGAGAGGATGGGAAGTGAACGAAACACTCAGCCAGCCCAGTGATGGGGACATTGGTGACGGGAAGGTCTAAGTCTGGGGACTAGAAGCCTCTCTCTGCCACATTTTTCAGTTTTATTTTCTACATAGCACTCATCACAACTGAAATTAGATACTTATTTACATTATTGCTTGTGCAGTATCTAGCTCCCTGGCTGGAATAGAAGGTCAGTGGAGGAAGAGACCTGGCCCATTGTGCCCTTCATAAGTAACCTTGAATAAGGTAATTAACTTCTCTGTGCCTTGGTTTGCCCATTTGTAGAATGAGGATAGTAAGAGTCTTTCCAAACTACAAGCATCCAATCCTAAAGAAGGCAAGAGAGAGAAAAGGAGCATAAAGAAGGTATGACAGAGAAGAAACACATGAGAAGGCAGATTAAGTCCAAACATGTCTGTATTAAAGTTAAAGAGATTTGATGCCCCAGTTAAAAGACAAAGATGGGCAGAATGGATCAAAAAACAAAAACTGGTTCTATACTACTTTCAAGAGAGACATGCACAACATAAGGATACAGAAAGATGGAAGATAAGGGGTAGAAAAGGATGGAGCCTTTAAAACATGAACCAAGGCCCTAACCGGTTTGGCTCAGTGGCTAGAGCATCAGCCTGTGGACTAAGGGGTCCCGGGTTCGATTCCGGTCAAGGGCATGTACCTTGGTTGCTGGCACATCCCCAGTGGGAGGTGTGCAGGAGGCGGCTGATCGATGTTTCTCTCTCATTGATGTTTCTAACTCCCTATCCCTCTCCCTTCCTCTCTGTAAAAAATCAATAATATATATATTTTTAAAAAATGAACCAAGAAGGAACAGGTGTGCAATATTAATATCAGAAAAAATCCACTCTTGCCGAAACCGGTTTGGCTCAGTGGATAGAGCATCGGCTTGCGGACTGAAGGGTCCCGGGTTCGATTCCGGTCGGGGGCATGTGCCTGGGTTGGGGGCACTTCCCCAGTGGGAGATGTGCAGGAGGCAGCTGATCGATGTTTCTCTCTCATCGATGTTTCTGGCTCTCTATCTCTCTCCCTTCCTCTCTGTAAAAAATCAATAAAATATATTTAAAAAAAAAAAAAAGAAAAAAAAAGAAAAAGAAAAAATCCACTCTTAAGGCAAGAAGCATGGAGTTAACAAGGGCACATCACAACAA